GACATTGCTTATATGTTATTTGTTTTTCTTATATATGGTATTGAGACACAGAGCTTTATACTGCAAGATGGAGAGAAGCAAAAATATATTCCAGACCCCAATCCTTTTGTTCCTCAACCAATGGTGTGATGTTTATGATTGCGGCGGTCAGGATTCCGATGAGCTAGCACGACGTACCTTTTGGTGTTAGATTATACATTTTGACTCATTTAAATAAAACATTAATATTCAAAATACCCTACATATATTATTATTGAGATTTCATTCATTTCAAACAGACCCTATGAAACATAGACATAAACCACTCCATCTTTGATAATTTTATCGAAATTTTTCACAAATCAAATTATTTGATATATAAATTATTCTTAATAACTTTTTGATTTTTTTCTTTTTACCATCTCAGTGGGACTAAACTAGTCGAACCCATTGGAATTACTGTTAGTAGGATATGGTAGCTGATCAGCCAGCCTACCTGCTATTCTAAACATCAATTCTAGTTATAACCAGTGTTTTAAAACCTACGGCTCCCGATCCAGATCTCTGATTTGGATAAGGGTTAATAAAAATTGAACTAGTTTTGAGATGGTATAGAGCTCGGCCCAAAAAACCCCTTTTTTATAATTTCTTTCAAATATTTAAGTTATCTAATGTTTTTGTCCATTTTTTTAGTTTCCACCCTACAAAATTTAATTTTAATATAATTTTAAATTATTTTTTAGACAATTGATTCACACATGCTTAATTCAATCTAAATTATCGATCCAACACGGAAGACTAACCTTCGAGATCCAAAAAGTTAAAATCCAAAAACCCAAGGATGTCTAAGATCTTTAAAGAGGGGCATTTTCGTACGTCCATACTGCACTGTCAACTGCTTTTGCAAGAAATTCCCCCCACCCGTCCTCCCTCTTCTCTGCTCTCTCGCTCTCTCTCTAAATTTTTTTTTTGTCTCTCATCACTTAACTCGTATTTCTTTTTCTGCACAAAATCCACTCACATGCCTCGCCAACGGCACAGATCCCTCCTCTCTCTCAGCATTGAATTGTTATACGGAGTGTCAGCACCCCTCTCCCCCTATTTACGGTAAAGATGCTCTCTCACCCCACGAAAGCCTGTCTGACCTCCCCTGCAAAAAAAACCCTAGCTTTTCCACTCTAAAAAGTCTGCCCCTTTTCTCTTTCTCTCTCTAATATTTACTTTGCCTAGATTCGTTTTTCATACTTCTCTCTCTACCCATTCTCTTCCTTTTCGTGTCAAGCCTTTAATGCAGTCTCAAACTTTTTAAATTTGTTTTCCTCTTGTGTTTCTTGCACCATAGATGCATGGTTCTCTCTTTCTCAATCTAGATGGTATTTTGCTCATCTATCGACATCTTTTTGCATGGTTCTCTGTCTTTCTCTATCTAGATTGTATTTTGCTCATCTATTAACATCTTTTTGCATCTAATGGTGGTGCAGAAAGGACACAATCCTCATGCGCCTGATCTTAGGGCATCTCTTTGTGGGCTTTTCCTTTTTTTTTTTTTGTTTCGGGGGGTGAAATGATTGGAAGAAAGAATGTCGAACTGGGGTGGGTGGGTGGGTGTTGTTTCTTCCTTTTTGAGCCCTGCTTGGTATGGAAAGGTTCAAGATTTTGGAGGGGTTGTGGTCGTTTAGGGCTGGGAGCATTGGGGTTGATGGGTGTCATGACTCGATGGATGCTGAGGAGTTTAGAACGTTGGAGGCCTACCCTCCTACTATAGACACAACAAATCATACTACATGTTTTGTTTTTTGTTTTTTGGTTTTTTTTTTTTTTGGGGGGGGGGGGGGGTAAATCATATCCCCTTTTAGGTTTGAAAAATACATAGGAACATTAATAAAATTAATGGTTGGTATGTTGGTTTGAAAAATATTTGGGTCTATTTCAAAAGAATAATATGAGGTTGTTTTGTTTTCTCTAAGCTATTTTTGTAGAGAGAAAGGTGCGGGTTTGAGTCTCACATTGAAGATGAGGGAGTTATCTTAGCAGTATTCACATGCTTTATATTATTAGTACAAAGGTGAGAGCGATGGTGTATGTGTGGAGTGCGCAAAGCTTGTGAGGGCGTGGGCACTTGATGGCGCACATTGTTGGTGGTGCATGTAACCACCAATACAGTTAATGTATAATGGGGTCCTTTTGTCATACGAGATAGACAATTTTTAGCACACTTTTGAACCTTTCAACACACCTCATCTCTCTCTACTCGTTTTCTATCTCTTTCTCTCTCTATAACATCAAGACTCTGGTGTCTAGTGTGTGGGTTCTAATCTACGGTGCATAGAGCTTTGGAATATAAAAGAGACCTCTATGTTTTCATGTATCTCAAAGGCAAATTGCCTTAAGTATTGAAGATAGGCAAATATCATCTTGAGATAGCATTCTTGCATGCTAGAAAGAAATAATCAATACTTGAATTTTTGAATTTATATTACTTTTTTGCCCCCATTTCACGCAACCAATTCCCAACAATTATGTTTTCCTGTATCCCAAGGATGAATTATCTTTCTTATACATAACAAATGTAGTATTGAAGGGGGTAAATATTATCTTGAGATAATGTTCTTGTGCATAAAAACAAGAAAGAATCAAGACTTGAATTTTTAAATTTATATTACCTTTTTGCCCCCATTTCACCCAACCAATTCTCAACAATTCAAGACGATATTTATAGGTGAAATAAAGGAGATTGCCATGATTTCTTTAAAAGTCATGAACCATGATTTCATGAGACTTGAGCGCTACAACGGGTGGAATTTCAAAAGATGACAACAAAATGATATCTTCTAGCTTACTACTCTCGAAGTGGCTTACATAGTCACCGAGTCTATGTTTGCTCCACTGCCATCTTATGATTCAACAGAAGAGAAAAATCAATCATACAAAAGATGGACGGAGGATGACAACATTTGTAAAGGTCATACCTTCAACGCTTTGACGCTATGGCATGTATGCGTCAGTGGCCATGGTGACAGATATGGAAACTACTTGAAACCAAGTATCTTATAGAAGAGTCCGATAACAAAAGATTTCTTATCTCTAATTTTTTTAGACTTTAAATTCATTGAAAAAAACTAATTCTTTCTCAAGTATATGAGTTGCAGCTTGTATTCAATGGACTTAAATATTATGGAATTCAATTAAATGATTTTTTTCTAATACACTCTACAATTCACAAGCTAGCCCCATCTTGGAAAGAATACCAAAAGAAAATCAAACATAAGAAAGTGGATCATGATTTGGTTCAACTTCAAATATCGCTTCGAATTAAAGAAAGGAGTAGACTTCGGGAAAAGAAAGATGAAACAATGAATTTTCATTACAAGGCAAACCTTGTTGAGCAAAAATCAAATGCTTCATGTAACAAGAGGTTTTTCTTTCTTAAGGCGCATAATGAAAATTATAAGTCTAATGCCAATAAAAATAAAAAGAAAGCCACATGTAATATATGTAGAAAATCGAGGCACTATTCAAGATAGTGTCGACACTAGAGAGGGCTCAAAAAGCCAAGAGACCAAATGAACATGACCACTGATGTAAAATTTATCACAATCGTCACGGAAGTAAACATGATCGATAAAAATAATTGATAGTGGGTCAATACCGACGCTATTATTCACGTGTCTAACAATCGGGACATGTTTAAGACCTTTGAACCAGTGGATGATGGTAATTCGGTTCAATTTAGAACCTAGGTAATGGTTAAAATGCCTAGAAAAGGTACGGTAGAACTAAAATATGTGTATTACATGTCGAATATGAGAAGAAACCTTATCTCAGGATGTATCTTGAACAAGAGGGGCTCTAAAATGGTCATTAGGCACCAAAAGTCGCATATCTTATGGCAAATGTTACTCTTGTGATGGGATGATTAGTTAATGAGCTCTAGAATGGTCATTAGGCACCAAAAATTGCGTATCTGTTGGCAAATATTCAAGTTTGATTTAATTAATGGAATAAATAAGTCTTATGTTTATATTGTGACTTTATGTAATGTGTGGCATGATAGATTAGAACATATTAATTATGCTTTTATTAAATCTTTAGTCAAATTAAGATCAATTTCTAATTATGATGATTTATCTAAAGAAAAATTGTGAAATATGTACACAAACTAAAATAATTGGAAACCCATTTCCTTCAATAGAAAGAAATAATTTGGGTCCAAGAATCACTAAATGCGTGTTTGTGGGATAATCACAAAATAGTAAAGCCTATAGCTTTTTGGATCTAAATTCTAACAAAATAATGAAATCTAGAGATACATAGGTTTTTTAAAATCTTATTAGTAAAAGTGAAGAGGATAAAAACAAGTAGCATTTAAAATGGAAATAATAATGAGAATGATCAAAATGTTGATAAAAAATGTAGAAAATAATGATAATGAGAAAATATAACCAAGAAGAAATAAAAGAATTAGAGGTGGTCCATCTTACAACTTTGGACTTGCTTTTTATATTTATCTAGTTGAGGCTAATCAAAATAAGATATTAAATTCATTACGTATAGTCTCAAATGTAGAGGAAGATCCACCTTCACTAAGTGAAGCGTCGACATCTCAAGATGCAATTTTTTGGAGAGAAACTATAAATAGTGCAATGGATTTCATAATGGGGAATAAAACTATAAATTAGTAGATATTTTATCGAGTTCTGAACCCATAGGTTATAAATGGATATTTAAAAGAAAAATGAATTCTAATGGTTCTATTAATAAATATAAAGCAATATCAGTTGCTAAAGTATATAAACAAAAAGAAGGTATTGATTATTTTGACACGTATGCACCTGTGGCAAGAATTGTTACTCTTTGATTGCTTTTAACAATAGCCTGTATCAATCATCTAGTCATACATCAAATGCATGTAAAAATTGCTTTATTAAATAATGACTTAGATGAAGAAATATATATGGAATAACCCAAAGGGTTTGTGATACCAGGTCATGAGAACAAAATTTGTAAAGTAGTTAAATGTCTTTATGAACCAAAACAAGCACCTTAACAATGATATAAGAAGTTTGACAATGTGTTGATGTCAAAGTAGGGTCGTAACCTTCCAATGTAATTGTGATGCAAGTTTACCGTTAATTGGTGAACTTGTGGTTGCATGTATGTGGCTTCAAGTTTTAGTACGGCCTCCTACGTGCGACATTGAGGCTACAAAGCAACTGAAGCCGCACAACAACTTCATTATAACATCTATAGACAAGTAATAGTGCAACCGCGAGCGCACCGACATTCGTGCATCTTCAACTATAGTTCCCCTATGTGAGACATAGCACAAGCGCCACAGATGCAATGTTGGATTCAATTGTGACTATCAAACACAACGAAAATACAAAATGAAAGGATCAATTGGAGGTCATATATATTTTTTGAATACGATTACCCTCTTGCAACGGTATCGTTATTTTCGTTACTTTTGAAAATGGCTCCTTCAATTCAAGGGTCCAATGCTTGCAACTTCAAGCTAAATATTAATTGCTAAAACCGAAAGTACAACATACACAGATAAAATCCCTAAGCCCTTTTTGACGAAGGAATACTTTAGTTTAGAGAGAGAAACAAAAAAGGTGGAAAAGAGATGAGAGAGGCTCTCTCAACAAAAACTTAAAAAATCATATACTTTCTCGCTACAAACCCAGGCCCTTTCAAGACTACCTATCTTTGAATGATTCCTACCAAATGTACATATCTATTCGAGTCCTTTGTCTTGGATATATCTCTCTAACGATATTTCTAAAATACCCATATATATCTCTAATGATATTTCTAAAATACCCATCCTAATTCTCTTAGGACTATCTCATTTCAATACCCGCACATAAATACCCAAATACCTAAGTGCTTTCCACCCACAAAGGGAACCAATATGCATCCCATTGATAAAGAAGAATAAATGAGCACTCCCCAAAAATGGTCCAAACAGTGTCCGCTCCAAGAGTAAAAATCGACTATGGATGATCAAACCTGGGTTTTTAAAAACTCAAAACCCAAAACCAATTCTCCCTTTATTCTTTTTCTTTTTTCTGATTGTCCATGAGGTAAGTTAAATTTGGTTTTCAAATATACATTTCGCTCTGGTTGGAGTACACTATATACGCCTGTAAGTAATTGGTATGGCAGGAAAAAGGAAAAAGTTTATATAAGGTTGCAACCTTGAAATGTAGAAATATAGATGCACCTAAAAAATTGATCGAAAAAGGTTGCTTTAATGTTGAAAATCCATCTGATCATCTCAACAACTAAAATGCATGAATATGAAAAATATATAAAAATTTGAATCCCTGAAATCGTGTATCTTACAGCGTAGTATCTAGACCGTACATTTTTAAGATTTTTATATTTTTATACATCTACTTGATTTTAACCATTTTTGGAGTTTAAAATTTTATAATTAGATATAAAAATAGATTTTGAGATAATCCTAAAATTGTTTTGCACCAAAATTACATGTTATTATAAAATTTGTAGGTGCGCCTTAATTGGATTGCTTAAGGCCGCAACCTTTTTAAAAAGCCCTTTCGAATATTTTATTTTATTTAATTTTTATTTTTATTTTTTTAAAAGGAAAAAAGAAGAAGCTAATTTGTAGGTAATTAGTTGTGTTTAAGGAAGGAGGTTCCATGGTACCCATCATCCTTGTAAATCTAATGTTGGATGATTGGAAAAAATCTGTACTTATTTTGATAAACTGTTGCAAACAAGAAAATGCTGAAGCTCCCTTCCACTTCTCTACTACAAAGTATAAAGATGCCCTCCAAAAACTATTGAATAATAGTCCGCAAAACATAGCTGGTAGACCATAGATATTATTAAAGAAACTTCGTCTATTCTAGTTCTTCAAGGTTTGTGAGAATTCAATCTGGAAATCTGACATGCGCCTTGTGTTTTTCCCTTTGAACCTAATCAATTCTTGCATTAGCTAGATTGCAGTATCATTTTTCGAGATTGAGTTTAAATCAGGTGAATTTGTTGCGGATTCCCTCGCATCGAGTATTGAGAGCATGTAGAACACCATATTTAGCCCTGTGATATGCATTTTGGGGTTAGCACTATCCTCAAGCCAAGCCAGGCATTGGAAACTTGAAAAGCTCACAAGACGCTACGTCTATGAGGGTTTCTCTATAATTAGAGAGTCAACAGACTGGTTTTGTACTTTAGGTATGAGAGACCTAAGCTTCAAAGATGGAGCCCACTGATGATACTGAGGTTAATTTAGCAATAATTTTTCAAAAATCATCCCTTTGGCCACTGATGATACTGAGGTTGTCTGGTACAAAAATTCTAAGATTACATACCTCCCTTTGGCCAAATAAGGTTATGCTTCAGTGATCTCTGCTTCTGCCATGAATCTTCAATGTATCTCCCCAACTAATTCAGTATTTCAAGAGCAGATATGCATCTTCAATGTATCTTCTCAACTAATTCAGGATTTCCAGAGCAGATAATATCTTACACATATTGGTTGGAAAAGTTGCCCTGATCTCAGCACTTGGTTAAAATTTCAGCACCAGTTCTAGTTATCAATATCGTGTGCTCAAACTGTGCAGCAGGGCTCCCATCAGCAGTAAGCGTTGTCCAATTATCATCCCATGTAATGGACTCAATGCTTCCCATTGTCAGTATGGGCTCTGCAAATATTCAATGTTAAAAGCTATAATACAACACAAGAAGGGAAACACACATTATTCATTACCAGAATCGTATTGACATATAAAAATGAAGGATGCATGTTTCATCTTCTAGGTTTTAAATGAGTGCGGTGGTAAGCATATGTAGAGGCCGAGAAAAATATTGCTTGGATGGATGTATGCTTATATAACAAGTCATTGATCCTTTGCCAAATCAGAAGTGTATGGTCAGAAAAGGCTGCAATTTGGTTGTAAGACTTTAAATGGTTTAAATACACCTACAGTCTGCAACCAAAACACAGCAAAATCTCGTGCACAAACATTTATAACTATATAATCCATCTGTTACTTTGGATAAATTTAATATAATGGAATATAAACCAAACCGTGATAGACCTTTTATTATATAAATTGCATTTTAAATTACACTGTTGCAAAAGTATTTTGCTAAAAATAGGTGATTTCGGATGAATGGAATACCTAAGAGGCCAACATCTCCAAGAGGGAAAGAAGAAAGAAGTAACAGAAAACAAAGAAATAAGAAAACAAAATTATTACCAGTTTCATATTATCCATATGCCCAAAGATACAAAAGAGAGGTATAGATTCCCTATTTTGAGGTTTTGTAGAGAGGTATATTGTAAAGACGCACATGCATTTCACAACAGGCTTGTCACTACAATTCTCTAACATGCTTGTCTTAAAAAGAGCAATATTATATGGGTGCAGTTGGCATATGGATGCATCCGTAGGTGTAGAGGTAAGGTGCATCTTCAAATTTTATCATGGTATATAATCAATTTTGATGCAAAATGTTCTTAGGATTATCTCAAAATCTATTTTTATATCTAATTATAAAATTTTAAATTTAAAAAATGGTTAAAATCAAGTAGATCTATAAACATATGAAAATCTTGAAAATAGACGGTGTAGATAATATGTTGTAAAATGCACTATTTCCGAGACTTAAAATCTTTTTATTTTTCATAGTCATACATCTCAATGTCAAGATGATCAATCAAAGGGTTTTTCAACATTAAAACAACCTTTTCTGATGGATTTTTGAGGGGCATCCGTAGTTCTACATTATAAGGTAGCATCCTTATATAAACTTTTTCCATATTATATTCATATATGAGGGAGAATAAATGGAAGTGTGACTTAAACATATGGCGTTAGATACAAAAGAAAGGTATAGATTCCCTACTTTCAGGTTTTGTAGAAAGGCATATTGTAAAGACATACATGCATCTCACAAACAGGCCTGTCACTACAATGCTCTACATGCTTATCTTAAAAAGAGCAATATTATATTCATATATGTGAGGGAGAATAAATAGGAATTTGACTTAAATTTCTCACCACTTTCATTTGTTCCCCCAAATTTCCTAAGATCTCTTCCCTCTCACTCCCCCTCTTTTAAACTGTCATCCCTAAAATCTCTTCACCTAATATGTGAGGGAGAATAAATAGGAATTTGACTTAAATTTCTCACCACTTTCATTTTTCCCCCCAAATTTCCTAAGATATCTTCCTCTCACTCCCTCTCTTTTAAACTGTCATCCCTAAAATCTCTTCACCAACAAATATCTTTTATTGTACTTAAATGCAATGATAAAGTTGCCAATAAGAAAACACATCTATCACTCAAAGAATCTCTTGTATGTATCACTACAATCCTAAATATTTAAAACTAATCCATTATGAAGAATGAGAAAAATAGAACCACATAAAAAAGAAAGATAACTTATGCTCCGTTTACGCCTGGGGAAGGAAAATATGTCAATCTTCTATGCAATTTGTATTTCAAAACATCTATGAACTTCATATAGAAATTAAAGAAAATAAAACATCTATATGGGCAGAAGATCTCCGTGAGCCTTTTCTGTTTTCATGGGCATGCATCATTCTTCTTCACGGTGGTAAACTTTATTTTTGTTTTGCCATGGTCAATAAGGTCGTCACCGCAGGAACTTCTTTCACAGTGGTGAAGATCACTGGAATTCCTTCCATTAGCTTGACTTTAATGTGGCTCCATTTCTTAAAGGAGGGTGAGGCCACATCATTTTGATGTGGCTTCTTATTCTTTTTCATTTATCACTTCATACAAGTTTCATCCCCTCTTCCTCCCATACAATATTAATCTTTTTATACATAAAAGTTTAAAGGGAGTCACTTGGCGAGAAACAAGGGGCATTTGAAGAAGGTGTTTTAACCACTGGGAATTTTGAAATATCAGGAACTAGAAACACTGGAATCCATGGCACCAATTTTTGGGATTTGTAATTTTGGTCTATCGACCATTTTTCAACTTGTGTCAATTGCTTGTGTCAATTTGAGATCCATTGAACTCTTCATCAACTTGACAAGACAACCAGAAAACAGCTATGAATAGAAAGATCTTTGAAGTGCAACTCGAAGTTCTTTTGACTCATTTCAGTGGGATCAATTGTATCCTAGGAGTGAGCTTGTAATGACCCAGTTGCATATCAGAATTTCCCGAGTCGGGGGTGTTTACCACTTCGAAGAAAGCGAGCTCTCGTGCCTCTAGATCCCAATACATCAGTCTCCCTAAATATCAAAACTACACCTAAGCTTTACTGGGCTATTTGGAAATTGAATTTCAGATTTTACACTTAAATTTGACTCTTGTTAAGCGAAGATTCAGTTAAATTTTGTTTTAAGGGATAAGTAACTAACAATCTAACAAAATATCCATTGAGGAAAAAAACGAGGGGAAAAGAAGAAGAAAAAGCCAATAATGCACAAATTTGTTATGCCTGTACGATAAAATGGGGTTCGAACCCCTTTAGAAAATAATTTGAAATGCTACTTTTTAGCAGTGTTGTACATAATATCATGATGTGGTTTGGGGCCCTCCAAAACCCCTAGCATTTACCGCCTTACATAAATAAGGTGCAAACCCATGAAAATTATTACTACAAAATTTAGAAAGGGCATTCTATGCTATAATTCTTCGCAAAATTAAGAATTTCCATAACATGTTAGCTTATAAAAATAATAGAACATGGAAGTTTTAAGAAAGGTTTGATAGAAAATTAAACAGCAATCAAAATAACATTAAATGACTTCAAAGTTAAATAAAACATTCATTTTTTAACTAAATTAATTGTTATTAAGGTATTTTTCATCTAATCTCTCAAAAGGACCACCAATGCAACACATACTTAACCTAGAATAAAAAACCCAAAAGAAACTAAAATGTCTGAAAGTATTCCAACCTGTTTAGGTTCTTATATAACCTGGACAGATTAGACACTCAAAGGTTTTACAGTGCAGAGAAGTAAAAAGATTTTCCAAAACGAAAGTTGGCCAAGTCAGAATCCACTATGGTTTCACTAGAATATATGTGATGTAATAAATGACTACATGTTGGGTAACGTTTGTGTAAGGTTGATGCCGTAAACAATCAATGTAAGGCACACCTCCAAATGATGTTGAAATATCTTTTAGTGTTGGAAATCCTTGTGATGGTCCAAAAATATTTTTTCATCTCTAATTATTAAATTTAAAGCTTCAAAATAGTATTAGATCTAGCAGATCTACAAACTCTTGAAAATCTTGATAATGGATGGTTTAGATATGATGTAAACAGCATCAAGGCATTGGCTGGAACATGCCTTTATTTTTTAATATGAAGTGGGAATGTTTCTGAAATTGCAATATTTATTAAGTTGGACATGTTGGGATTGTCTTATTTGTCAAGTATCATTTCAAAACTTGTCACTAAGGGGTAATTTTGGGTTGTGGTTTAAAGTCGAGGGTAAAATTAAGCGCTATAGATTTCCCATGCACTCAACAAGTTGAAGTACAAATAATGTTGTTGACTTGCTGCAAGTTCTATGAGTCAAAGAGTCAATAATGTAGAGATCCTATGCATGGGAATTTGATTACGCGAATGGGAACTTGTAACATAGGAATGAGGTTGCATGCAAGTTGATTTAATTGTATGGGCTATAGGGTATTATCATCATCGTCAAAGCCTTTTCCCAACTAATTGGAGTCAGCTACACAAATCTTGGTCAACCATTATACTTTATTAAGGACCATAACCTCAGTGAGGCCATAAGTCCCCATATATTTTCTCTCTACTTCTAACCATGTCCTTTTGGGTCTATGACTTGCCATTTTTTAGCCTTTCACTTGAACTAACTCGCACTTCCTAATAGGTGCTGGACTGGGTCTGCGCCACACATGGCTAGTCCACCTAAGTCTAACTCTCTTTCATCTTATCACCTATTGGTGCCACATCTAAATTTCTTCAAATTTATTCATTTCGAATTTTATCCCTTCTTGTCTTGCCTCTCATCCTTCTCAACATCCTCATCTCCACTACACTCATTCCATGGGTATTATTTCTCGACCGCCCAACATTTCACCCCATGGAGTAAAGTTGGTCTCATAGCTATCCTATAGAACTTGCCCTTTAGCTTCATTGGTATGCGACGATCACATAAAATTCCGGTTGCGCATCTCCATTTTGCCTACCTAGCTCTAATTCTATGTGCGACATCTTCTCCAATCTCTCCGTTTTCTTGGATTATCGACTCAAAATAACGAAAGTGCGCTCTATTTGGTATTTTTCGAACGTCAATCTTAACTACCTCTTTGTCTCTGCTCCTATAATTACTAAACTTGCATTCCATATACTCTTTCTTAGTCTGGCTAATTTTAAAACCTTTAGATTCTAGAGCATCCTCCAAAGTTATTTCGGGTCTCATTGATCAAAATTGTCATCTGCGAACAACATGCACTACAGAACCTCATCTTGTAGGTGCCTAATTAAATCGTCCATAACTAAACAAAGAGGTATGGGCTTAATGCTAACCCCTGATGTTTACCTATAGTCACTGAAAACTCAGTCGTCTCTCCACTAGTTGTTCATAGACTAGTTAGCACTCCATCGTACATATCTCTCACTAACTCGATGCAGTGTGTGGAGACTCCTTTCTTTTGCAACACCCACCAAATCAAATCTCGAGGTACTCTATCATAAGCTTTAGGTACTCTATCATAAGCTTTCTTTAGATCAATAAAGACCATGTGGAGGTCTTTTCCCTTCGTCCTAAACTTCTCAATCAGTTGCCTATGTAGCAAAATAGCCTCGGTTGTTGACCTCCCTAACATAGAACTGAATTGGTTTTCTGGTACACTTGTTTCATGCTTTAGTCGTAGCTCAATCACTATCTCCCAGAGCGTCATAGTGTGGCCCATAAGTTTGATCCCTTGATAGCTCGCATAATTCTATAGGTCTCCTTTGTTCTTGTAAATAAGTACCACAATACTTTTCCTCCATTCGACTGGTATTTTCTTCGTTCTCAACACCTTGTTGAACAGCTTGGTCAGCCAGTCAATACCAATCTCCCCTATGCACATCTAAACTTCTATCAGGAAACCATCTGGTCCTAAAGCCTTTCCTATCTTCATCATTTTCAAAGCTTCTTTCACTTCTGATATCCTAATTCTACGAATGTATTTATGACCTCCGTCCTTATTTATGCCAACTATTCCTTCTACTGTTATGTTCCCATTGTGATCATTTATAAAAATTTGAAAATAAACTCTCCACCTTTCGTTGACCTCTTCGTCATTCACCAAGACCCTTTGACCCTCACTCATAATGCATTTAATATAGTCTAGATCCCTACATTTTTTCCCTTATTTTTGCTAATTTGAAGACATTTTTTTCACCTTTTATTATTCCCAATTTACTATATAGATTATCATATGCCTTAAGTTTAGCCTTACTATTTGTTTAGTGCCTTTTTCAGCATTGTTATATTCTTCAAAGTTTTGATCATTTCTATTATACTGCCAAGTTTTATAACATGATCTTTTTTTGCTAATGGCCTTCTGAACCTCATCACTCCACCAACAAATTTCCTTATTGAAATTTCTTTTCCCTTTAGATTCTCCTAAAACTTCTTTTGCAACTTTCTTAATACAGTCAGCCATCTCATTTCACCTAACAATGACCTCATATTCAGAGTTCCATTTTTCTTCTTTAACTAAATTATCCCTAGTTGGTTTATATATATTGTACATTGTTGAAGCAGTTGTTGATGATTCTGATTAATAAAATTTCAATTTTCCTCCTACTTGGTGTAGAGAGAAAGTAAGATTGCCCAACAAGGGAGTTGGAGTTAGAAGGTTTCTACAAGGAATAATTGCATGATATAAGGCTGGAAAAATCCTTGTTCCTTTCCCTTTCTTGACAGTGATCAAGGAAGTTTTCCTCTTGTATATCAACCAGCAGGATCAACGAGTTGTTGCTGCATCGATCTTGGATCTCTGCTTTCCAGGTGCCAGTTTTGCACCATTTGGTATCAGAGCCAAGATACAGCATATGCAACCCAAAACTCAAAGTGTGCTTACTCACTAAGGCAATCTTGGACTCGATCAGTAATTGTTCACCTATACTGGCTCTTGTGGAATCACGATCTTACTATAGTATCGTTATTACCTGAAGTTTACATGAACATATTAAAACTTTTAGATACCTCTTGAATGCAAAAGTCCAGATGAAAGATTTGGGTTCCCTAAAGCATTATTTTGGTATTGAAGTGGACAGAACTGCTAATATTCATTTTCTACCAGCACAAGTACGCCTTAGACCTACTTTCTCGCAGTGGCATGAAATACTGCAAGGTCATGATCACTGCACCTATTCATCTGATACTTGGTGCAAAAGAAGGTGAATCGATTTCTGATCCACTGCAACACCGCAGCAGCATTGAATACTCCAGTATCTGATATTCATGCGACCAGACAATGCCTTTGCAGTGAGTCAGGTCTCCCAATATGTGCATGAACCATACTCATGTTGAAGTTGTGAAATACATACTTCACCATATTAAGCCAACAACAAGTGACATCCTATTACATACTCAAGAAGATATTTCTTCTGCTCCTCTCATTATTGTTGCATACTCTGCTGCTGATTAGGCTAGAGATCCAGAAATTCAGCGCTGCATATCTAGCTATTGTATCTTTCTGGTTTCATAGAGTAGTAAAAAAACAAGGTGTGTCGCTTTATCGAGCATGGAAGCAGAGTACCAATCTATGGAAGCAGTAACTGCTAAAGTATCTTGGATTCAGCATCTATTAAGGTCTAAACATTTCTCAATCACTGCCCTATTGTGATAGTTGTACCACAATTTCAATTTTTTGGATCCAGTCCATCATGGGAGTACTAAGCACATCGAAATAGAACAGCATTTCATAAGAGAAAAGATTAAAGATTAAGAAATTGGGGCAAAATTCATAGGTACTGAAAATCAATTTGCGGATATTTTCACCAGTGCATTCACATGGTATCGACATTGGTTTCTTAAAGCCAAGCTCTCCATGGTTCTAGCCATGGCACAGCTAGCAGGGGGCTATTAGCACTATTAGATGTCTTGTCCTTGTATGTAATATTCACTATTTTAATGCCTACTATTCAAGTAATATCCTCATGCACATAAGCGTACAAGGGTAAATATCTCTCAACCTAACACACACAAATATATATGTATATATATATATATATATATACACACACACACACATCAATAATGTTGGCCTCCACATCAATTGAGTGGAATGACCCAGCCACGCTGGCTTCCACGCCATTCTTCCTCTTCTTTTATTCTCTCGTCAATGAAGTTTCAATATCTTTCCCTCTTCTCCTTCGTATTTCCCTAATTTATGAAGTTTCACAGATTTCTAGCATATGCAAAATTAAGATTTGATCAATTCTGTGAACTAATTAACCAAAAACTCTTATGTGACTTTGATACCATAAACGCATTTGGTCATCTAAGGCTTCAAATGCCATAAAACATCAGTAATAAGGGATGGTGCTCAGAAATAAGCATGTCGATTTTGGTGACAACTACATTAGTCAATCAACCTAAAAAAATAATACATATTTGTTTATGTTGGTTGACATATACTAATTAACAGATTCCATGTATAGAAGTTGTAGATGGGTAATAGTTACTCCACTCATTTTCCAATATTTAAATGCTGATCAAGAGGTTGAACTATTATAATGACGCAATCATTTTAATAATTAATCGCATTTTATTGAAAGATATGTGCTCCTTGAATTTCAGTCAAATTATTACTCAATAAAATGGACAGCAACTTTAGAAATAAAAAGGACTGACCTATAGTGAATGTTTGGCCTTCCACCATGCATCCAGGTTTGTCATTACCTGCAATTTAATAATTCACTTGCATTAGAAAATTAAGAGGAGAAGTTACCTATAGAGATTGTCCAACCACAGTTAAATTTTGATAATCACAATAGTGCCTTTGGCCAAATTCGACTTAGTTTTCATAAAAGATAACCTCTCAAACGAGTACCTTTAGTGCTTATAGCAAATGCTGGGTTTGGGGTTAAAGGGTAAATCTTTTCAACTGTCTCCTTACAGGCCTTGTAATATTATATTACTATTTTTTTATTTATGATGATTTACTTTTTATCTTGAATTCTACATTATTTTTTTTTGAAGCTGACTATCTTGAATTCTACATTAATAGATACATGAAAGTATAAACAAAAAGTGCTATAATCTATCTTGAATTCTACATTAATAGATACATGAAAGTATAAACAAAAAGTGCTATATTTTTGTCTCTTTCCGGTAGGTATAGGTATTTTAACAAGAAAACACATAAACATCCAAGACAGCCCACTGACAAAATGGATCTACTTATTTGTTAGAGAAGCTTAATGGAAGGGTAGGGAGTTCTTTATCATAATTTTACACTAAAGGAGAACAGGAAGCTATAGTTGGTTCATGTACAAGTGGACATTTACTGCCTTTTTCCAGGAGCTGATGTCATGTCTACTTGATGGCTTCTAGGAACAAAGGCGAGCACAAGTGGTGTATCATAAAACTTTATGGACCACTAAAGTAGTATGTCTATCCTCAAAAATGTGTTCGTTCTGGTTTCAAGAAATGAACATCAATCCATAATTCAGAACCAAATGAAGTACAAACAAGCAAAAGAACAATAACAGAACTATTAAAACATCGGATACTCCTATTAGGCGAAGGTCACAACTCATTTATTATAGGGTTGGTTATTGCTAACATCACGAATATGGGTGACTGCCAATGGTTTGGGAGCTCATTAGCCATGTTAAATTGTTAATACGCATAAATCTATACATACTATTATCATATCATGAGAATATAATAAGTGCATGTTCTTATTTTGACTTAAAATGTAATATATGAATTCATTCAACCTAGTCATTCAACATTCTAGTTCCGTCATTAAAGAAAGAAAGACTTGCAAATTTTGTTTCCTTTAGGTAGGTTGGATAAGACCTCAGGATCTCATGTTGAAATGGTCAAAAAAAAAAATCACAAGTTATTCAATAAGAGAACCCTACAAATAATTAAGCAGGAATTTCATTCATCTACAATAGCAAGAAGGAAGTATTCTTTTTTTTTGGGTAAGTCAGTGGGGTAGAAGCCCCCCTACCCATTTTTTATTAATAAAAGAGCAGGTATTCACTACTCTACACATGCATCTATAACATATTGGATGACATTCCCCACTTCGACAAGGAAAAACAATCTAGCAGTGAGGCATTGAAGCAAAAAAAAAGTGGTTATGTGGAATCTAAGGGAGTAACATATATATATATATATATATATATATATATATATATATATAATAACAATTTCTTCTTTGTTTTTGATCCTTAGAGTTCTATTAGTTGTACTAGTTGTTTTATCCGTCAGATTCTGAATAAATTTTTCCATTATTAGGTTGCGGTTGAGTGTTATCTGGACAGTCCTCTTTGACTACCTCTTACGTCTTCTAGACCTCAGCGGCTCTCCTGGCCTAAACGGTCAACTGACTGGGTGTCCTGAGCGTCTCTAACCTCAATTCTCGGACCAACTTTCTTTAATGGATTAATTTATTAAGTTTCTTAAGATAGACGAACTAGTAGTAACTGTTAGATCTCTAAAACAGGGTTGGCTCTGATATCAATTTTGCCGCAAGATCTACCCTACTACTTTTATAATAAATATGAAAAGATTACAGAGTTATATACGAATAATTGTTGTAAAATTGTAACATAGACGAGAAAAACAAATAGAATAATTAAAACAGGGAACCAAGATATATCGAATATGATCCAAGAAGTATGAGTATAATCGCAGATTTTGAATGTAAAAACAAACTTAAATTGCATAACTTACTGATTACAAATACAGAGACTTGCAAATCTCTTCCACTCAGAGGGATAACAAGAAGGTAAAGAAGATAGATTACATTCACACATTCTAAAAAGAAGTCATATGGAAGTTACCGACTTTGATGGTGTACAAGTGTCGATGACTGTAAAAGCCTAACCTACTGTCTACAGAATGAAAGAAGAAGGTGAGAAGAAAAGAGAGGAGAGAGAATATGAGAGAGCAGAGAGAATATGAAGAACTATGAGAGCTTGCTTCTTGATAAGGCTTGTTGCTCCTTGAAGCAGTCTGCCTTCTTCTTTTAGCAGAGTGGGTATTTATAGAGGATCGTTGGAGGAGAGCAAGTGGCTAGGATTGATTGCTTGGTGACGAAGGAAACTCTAGTGGCTGCTATTCGTTTGCTTGACGAAGAAGGAATGTGAAGATAAGATTCTTGCTGAAGAGGGGTACGTGGTTGGTGCAGAAGATAACTGGTTGTCGGTGATGGTGACGGATGGCGACATGGCGAATCTTAGGTGGTCTGTGTGAGCGGTACGTGCGAACAACAACGAAGGAGGAGGAGACACGTCAGGCGGGTGATTTGACCCGAAATTAGTCACATCGTTCAAGAGAATCTTTACTGTTGCAGATGTTTGTCTTTTTATGTAAGGGAAATATTTTTGTCGTAGCATTTGCTAATGGGATCTCATCTGATGGTTGAAGAAGGAATCTTTACTGTGCATGATATGACTCCAATTTAGTCAAATCAGCTACAGAGGAATATTTGATGTAGCTTGTCGTATCCTGTATGCAAAGTAAGGAACAAAACGAATCTTTGCAGCGAAAACGTCTTGTCTTTGGATGAGATGATATCGGGCCGAGCTACTCATCGGGTCTCTGACTAAAATCGTCTAGCAAAGGATTGTCAGATTGTACTGTCTCTTTTGATGTAACTGGTGCAGTAGTATCAGAGGCAAATATTTCGAAAAGATTTTGCTCTATTTCTTCTAATGTAGCATTAGGGTGTGATTGCTTCATTTTTTTCAGATAGGCCGAAAAAGTGGGTAAACTGACTGTATTATATGCTGGTGGGCTTAATACATTGGTTTGACGGGTTTTCGTTTCAGGGATAAGGAGGCAGGATCAGTACTGAAGATGTCCCACCATTTGATTTTGAGGGTTTTGCCAAGCTTGGGAATATACTCATAATTGCTCGTATTATTTTCAGAAATAGAGTAATCCCATTTGAGAATCCAGGGTATCGGATAGATTGCCATGAAATAAAGATGGAAATCTTCTAGGTCGGTACAAGTATTATATTGTGCAAATTTAGTCTGGAATGCCTGAAATTTATCAGGTAGAATTTGAGTCTGTGATCCCCATAGTAAGAACCAATGGCCAAACCAGTTTGGGAATCTTTCAAGGATGTGAAGTTTGAATTGTACATACCAGGAATGAGTATTATTGGGATTCTGGTAAAAGAACACTTTGTGCCATGCATTGATATATTCAGCATATTTATAGTATTTATATTGGAATTCAGGGTTTAATAATTTTTTCCCTTGAAGGGGATTGCATCCCCAATCATCATAAGAAAGTAGTTTTTTTTATTTGAAATTTAGAATAGGCATATACTTTAGTTGTGCCTTGGTAGAAATGGACTATTGAAACCGAACCGGTTTCCATGAGAATGGCTTCATACCATTCACGAGTTTTGATTCCATATGAAGGATTTAGATGGTTGATAAGATAAAGGGGAGCTATTTTATTTGGGTCAAGTTGTGCATGAGTATCAGAAATAGGTATGTCTGAGAGGAAGGCTGTGTCTACATAGACTGATTTGGCAGAGGTAAATGGTTTTTTATTTGGATATGTTGCCGGGGAAAACACCGGACATGGAGTTGGTATTGGACTTTGAGGAGGAGTTTGTAACAAGTACTCAGGTATATTTGAAGATATGAGAGGTGACATAGGTGTCAGGTTTAAAGAAGAATGGATCGGCATAAGAGGCCCAAACATATTGCTAGGTACTATTTCCATAGGTTGTTTTCCTTTTTTGGTATTTGAAGATTGAGGATTATTCATATTGTTATGCTTATTATCAAGAAAGAGTTGCAAACCGTAGGAGGAAAAGCCGTAGGATGAGATTGTATTGTCCTTAGTGTGCTAAGGATATGTACGGTCCCCCCTGCAAAAATTTACGGGTTAAAAAGTCAGGTAAAGAATTAGTAGAACCGTGAAGATGCTCAATAGAAAAATCAAAGGCAGATAAAATAGCCTGCCACCGGGCGAATATTTGTTTGGAAACAAGGTTTTGAACATCTTTTTGCAGAATGTCTTTAGCGGCTTTACAATCGGTGCGAATAAGAAAGTGTTGATTGAAAATATCAGTCTGAAATTTACAAACACAATGAATAATAGCAAGTAATTCTTTTTTGACAGTAGAATAATTCTTTTGAGTTGGATTCCAGGCTTTGGAAGTAAAGCGTATTAATTGTTCTTTAGAATTAATAGATTGTTTTAATATACCACCGAGTCCTATTTCAGAAGCATCGCATTCAATGATTTTAGAAGCTGTTGGATCAGATAAAGTTAAACATGGAAGTTCTTTGGCCTTAAGTTTAAGTCGTTGTACAGCCAAGGTATGAACATCCATCTACGGTAGAGGATTCTTCTTTAATCGGTCATATAAAGGTTTAGCATCAAGAGCTAGATTTGGGTAAAAATCACTTATATAATTGAGACATCCTAAAAATCGTTGTAATTCAGTTTTGTCTAAAATTTTGTCAGGAAATTTATCAGCAAAGAGAATAGATCTATCAATTGGGATAATGGTCCCTTGATTTATATTGTGTCCTAAAAATCTAATTTTTGTTTGAAAAAGATTTATCTTTTTAATAGAAACTACTAATCCAGCATTTTTAACTGTATGGATGAAAGTATGAAGATGTTTAAAATGTTGTTCAAGAGATTCAGAAAATACGAGGACATCATCAATATAAACTGTCATGAATTTG